AAAAAATTTAGTCAATATGATTCTTGATGAGTGAAAATTTTGGAAAGAGATTAGTTTGTGGATAAAATATAGCTAATTGCACCTGGCACATTGGCAGATGTGAAGCGCCTTATCGGGAGGAGGATTACTGATCCTACTGTACAGAGTGACATGAAATTGTGGCCATTTAAAGTTATTACTGGACCTGATGACAAGCCAATGATTGGTGTAACCTTCAAGGGTGAAGAGAAGAACTTTTCTCCTGAAGAAATCTCATCTATGGTGCTTACAAAGATGAAGGAAATTGCTGAGGCTTTCCTTGGATCAACTGTAAAGAATGCTGTGGTAACTGTACCTGCATACTTCAATGACTCGCAACGTCAGGCTACTAAGGATGCTGGTGTCATTGCTGGTCTAAATGTCACACGTATTATCAATGAGCCTACGGCTGCTGCCATTGCTTATGGTCTGGATAAAAAAGCTAGCAGTGTAGGTGAGAAGAATGTGCTTATCTTTGATCTTGGTGGTGGTACTTTTGATGTCTCCCTCCTCACTATTGAAGAGGGAATTTTTGAGGTCAAATCTACAACAGGAGATACTCATCTTGGAGGAGAAGATTTTGACCAGAAATTGGTCGGTCAGTTTGTCCTGGATTTCAAGAGAAAGCATAGGAAGGACTTAACAAGTAATCCTAGATCCTTAAGAAAATTGAGGACAGCTTGCGAGAGGGCGAAGAGAACTCTTTCTTCAACCGAACAGGCAACTGTTGAAATTGATTCACTATATGAGGGAATTGACTTCAAATCCAGCATCACGCGTGCCAAATTTGAGGAGTTGAACATGGAACTCTTCAAGAAGTGTGTGGATCCAATTGAGAAATGTTTGAGGGATGCTAGAGTGGACAAGGACAGTGTCCATGAAATCGTTCTTGTTGGTGGATCAACTAGAATTCCCAAGGTGCAGGAGCTGTTGCAGAACTTCTTTAACGGGAAGGAACTTTGCAAGAGCATCAACCCCGACGAAGCTGTTGCTTATGGCGCTGCTGTGCAAGCAGCCATTCTTAGTGGAGAGGGTAATGTGAAAGTTAAAGATTTGCGCCTTTTGGATGTCACCCCTTTATCGCTAGGACTCGAAACTGCTGGAGGACTTATGACTGTCCTGATTCCAAGGAACACCACCATTCCTGCAAAGAGAAAGAAGATATTTTCAACTTATTCTGATAACCAATCTGAAGAGTTAATTCAGGTTTACGAGGGAGAGAGAGCAAGGACAAAAGACAACAACTTGTTGGGTAAATTTGAGCTCTCTGGTATACATCCTGCACCAAGGGGTATTCTTCAGATAACTGTCTGCTTTGACATTGATGCCAATGGCATCTTAAATGTTTCCGCCGAGGACAATACCACCGGACAGAGGAAAAAAATTACAATTACGAATGACAAAGGTAGGCTGTCGAAGGAAGAGATTGAGAAGATGGTCCAGGATGCTGAGAAGTACAAGGCAGATGATGAAGAACACAAGAAAAAATTAGAGGGAAAGTTGGCTTGAAAGCAACCAACTTGCAGAAGCTGATGAGTTTGAGGATAAGATGGAGGTTGAAGGCATATGCAATCCACTTATTGCCAAGATGTACCAAGGTGCTTGAGGTGCACCTATGGCTGGTGGTGGTGGTGGGGCAGGTCCCAAGATTGAGGAGATGGATTAAGTGATATATAGAACATCTTTTTCTTTTCTTTCTATTAGTGTAGTTTAACATAGGTAGGTAGGTAGGTTTATTTGTTTTTTTCGTTTCGTTTTCAAACTGGTGATGTTCATTCTTCATAGTTCTACGCCATCAATTTCGAGCTGCCAATGGCAAGTTACACTAAATCAGTTGCTTTAATGGAGCAATATAAGTCGGTTTCAACATTGGGTATGTTGTTGTATAAAACCTTATTTCTTTGCACTTAATAAAGATCTGAATCTGTATGATTCAAATCTTACGCTTATATTTCACACGACTTAGTGATTTACTCTTGATTAGCCTACGAGTGAAACAAGTTGTCTAATATGTTCCAACGAAGCATTAAGAACAATAAGTAAAGAACATAATATTTTTTCGTGGGGAACACCCAACTCCAAAAGATGTAAGAAATCACAACCTGTACCTTACCAGATTTAACCCCAACTTCACTGAATCAATGAGCATCAACATAATTCAGATTACAACTCTTGCAATCTTACGAACCAACTCTAATTCCTAAACTTTAAGTTATGAGTTCAGATTAAAACTCTTGCAATCCTAGAAACTAACTATAATTTCTGAACTTCTACACAAACCTATCATGGTATGTGTTCCCAAGTCTTCAAGTTATTCCAACTTAAAGACAACACCCCTAATTTAGTTTAGAACTCACTAAACTAGGATTACATCAACATTACCACTCAAAGAAAAACTCCTAATACATAAACTATATAATAGGACTTGGTTCTTCAATGTATTCCTTCAATCTTTTGGTAGCACTTGCGAAGTTAATTTTTTAATTGCCTTTTTTTCTCGGCAAGTGCACAAGTATTATGAATGACTTCACTTCTATTTAAGAACAACTTTTAGAGAGTTGTTCTTCAATTCAAACTCCATATTCACGCAAACTCTCTTGACTTAAAGTTCTACTTCAAATCAAACTCATTGCCTCTTTAGAATCCCTCTTCAAATCAAAGTCATTGATTTTTTTGTGTCGTATCGAACTCCAACTCTTCAATTCAACACATGTTTGTTTCCTTAAGTTTATCACGAAACTGTCATCCATTCCTTTGATTATTGCACACTTGTCTTTATTATTTAGTGATCTTGCTATAGATTCAACTCCTTGACATGATGTATTTATGAATCAGGTTGACTTACACATTTCATATTACTTTGTCAATCATCAAACTGCATAGAATCCAACATACGTCATTAAGTGTATTTGTTTATATGAAGATCAAACCACTTATTTGGTTTGAGAAGATCTTAATCATTAAGTTTTTTAACAAAGTTTTACTATCATTAATAATTATTTTTGTATGAATAATTTTCACACCACTTTATGCACAATCACCAATGACCACCATTAATTACGTCTGCCATCATAATAATCACACCATATCTTCACCAACTGTTAATTAGCCATCATTATTAACCACCTTTGTCATTGTAATTATAATTGTTGCCAACCTCCATCATTATCATAAACCACCACACTTTCTTCAGTCATCAACACCAACACCAACACCAACACCAATACCACTAACTACTAACCTCAATCAACTTCACAATCACAATTGCCGCCACCATCACTACCAACCATCACCATCGGGCTAGTCACTACAATATTATCCATCTCTATCATCATAATTATCACTACCATCATTACTAGCCACTAACACCAACCATTACTTAACCACTAGCACCAAATATAAATATTTTATTTGAAGTGTAAATTTATTATATTTAAAACTAAATAGATTATACACATTCAAACATTTTAAAAACAAATAGTCATAGTTATTTAGTATTCATATCTAGAAACATCTTAATTACTCAAATATACATTCAAATTCAAATATTTTAATCTTAATACGTACAATAAACCTCAATATGCTTTTAACATATAACCAAACGTCAATATTTTTTTAATAATATACATCTTGACCTTTACAAAAGTAGACAATAGCCGTTGGGGACCTTTAATATATACTATTAATCATTGAATTTTTTAAAAGTTTTATTTTTTAAAACATAACTTGTAAAATACTCAATTGGCACATTTTGTTAAACTTGGAGCCCTTGTTTTATAAATAATGTCAAAATATCTGCCCCATAATATGGGCCCAAATGGACAAATCATTAATTTGTATTTTATGACATTGTCAGAAAAAAAAACTTTTATTGGAAAACGTTAACCAACGGATAAAATTTCCAAAGTATTGGTCAAAAATTCAGATTCAAAATTATTACTATTATTTTTATTAAATTCATCATCCCCTACCCCACCACCCACTAACTCCACTAAAGTGACATTCAGAAATATTTTTACAAAAATGGTACATTATATTTGGGATATGATTCGAAATAGTTCCTTAAATATATTTTTGAACAGTTTGAATATAGATTTGATTATACTTTAAAATAAATATTTTAAGAATTAAAGTGAAGAAAATAACAACCACAAAACCCCCCCCCCCACCACCACTATCATTACAAACCATCTCTATCATCACTAGCGAATATAAATAATATATATAAATATATATATATATATATATATATATATTAATCAAATTATGATTTTATTTTATTATATTTTATATTTATAATATTGAATTACTTTTCTATTTGAATTATATATTTATCATGTTTACAAACAAAAAATTATACACATTCATATGTTGAAAAACAAACAATCTTAAATATTCAGTGTTCAAATTTAGAATAACATCTTAATCATACATATGTGCATTCAGATTCAAATGTCTTTGTCTTAATGTCAAGTCCCTGACCTGTCGTGGTGACACCCACACTAACCCTCCAATGGGAGAACCAATTACTAACCCAACTCAACTACCTTCAAACCTATTATAAGAAACAACTTACTACATAAACACTAGGAAAAATAGTCTAACGCAAATAAAAGATTGAGTTCTCATAAACTCAACTAAATCATCCTAACAATTGTGAAATTTAACCTCTAGAATCTGAAAGTCATCATATTAAAACTCTAAATAGTCAAAACTGCAATCTCGAAACTAAAACATAAACCTAACAATCTAAAATGTCTCTTTATGAAAAGATGGACAAGAAGATGTAGAGGAACCAATGACTTCCTGGAAGAGTAGCTCACCTTTGAATTCGAAGTCAAGCGTCCCTTAACTGAAGTCTCATATCAACCGTTGGAAGATGTCATGTACTCCACAAGAAAAAATAAAGTGTAGTATCAATACACAATCACATTGTATTGGTAGGATCACACGACCAAGTCTAAATCATGAATGTAAACAGATAGCCACAACACAATAAACACTTGACAACACATATAAAACAATCACAAATACATAGGCTCCTAATCACAATATCCTGAATCAACCAATACTTGAAACATGTCCCACATGATCACAATTACAAATACCCGGTCCACTCATGGAATCATAACTACACATACTCGGTTCTCTCACAGAATCCACACACAAATTATTAGTGTATCAGCGTGGTATCCGAGCCAATCAGGGGTAGTATTTATATCAGACGTGATATCCAAGCCAACTGTTAGTATTTCTATACCGGCGTGGTACCTGAGCCAATCAACAATCACAAACGACATGTACAATCATAATTACAATCACAATGAAGAATAACACTTGAAACCACAAGTTAAATTAAAAGTTCTATTGCATGAGATTATTAACATGATGTCATTTCATATGTTTCCCTATGTTTTCCCCAACATGCATTATATCAGTGGTACTATAAAGTAGTAGACATGTGTATACATACATACAACCATCACCTACCTCGAATCAAGCCTGAATGCTCTTAAGAACCTGAGCTTTCCTTTTTGAAGTACATTGACTTGTTCTTGGTCTAACAATAATGAAAAACACAACAATAAATCAAAACTGGTCTAATTATACCTGGATCATAATCAAATCCTAACAAATTCAGGACTTTTCCCACTATTAAATCAAGTCAAAATCCTCCCCCAAAAGTAATATCCTAGATTCTAAAGCTTAAGAATCTATTTACAAGATAGGGAAGTAATGAATTTACCTTTATCGTTGAATTTGGTGAAAATTTGATAAGACCTGCCCTTATGCACCCCTCTCAAACCTAAGAAGAATGATGCATAAAATAGGAGGTTTTAGGTCTTCTTTTTTAGCATAAAATTCCAACTTACCTGACTATAGCTGTCACGATTCGAGCCTATACCCTGGACGTGACCGACACTCAAGAACTATTGCTGGTTTTCAAGCGAACCCTCATCCTGGCTGACTACATGCAGAAGACTAACTTGAGCATACATAAGCATCAAATTGAAAGAAACGTTTAAAAATAATTTATTGAATCTCAAAACCTTGTTGAATATACTTAGTATGAAACATAAGTTTTAAATAAAATATCTGAAACTGAAAGACTCTCCAAAACTGTCTATCCATGAAGCCTCTACTATTGAGGAATGATGTCGGTACAAGACCCATGACACCTAAAACTACTTATTGGAAAGTAATGTGAAGTCCTCTGGAATACAATGAGGCTCACCAAAACTAACTGGAGTATAGAGTGATCTCAACGAAGCGCCTGTTGATAATCATGAACACCTATATCTGCATCATAAAAGAATGCAGGTTGAATGACATCAACACATGGAATGTACAAGTATGTAATATGGCTGAGTAAACAAATAACTGAACTGAATGATTGAAAACAACTCAACTGAATCATTACATGGACATGAAGTGAAAACCATTTAAGCTTTACAATAAAATATACAATGGAAGCAACATAAATAATATACTTTATTTGTGGGAAGTTTCTCTAACCGACAACCATAACCATGAGCCTAACAAACGTTGCCAAGGCCATCCTATACTTTGCTGGGGTATATGATGATATCGTGACTATGGATCCATCTAATTAGTCTTCTCAGAGGCAGTGAGGAGTCACATGAAGAATCAGTGCTATCCTATCCTATCCTATGCTAGCTACGTAGTTCTATGGGACTTTCGAATCATAAAAGACTCTAACCCAACTCAGTGCTCGATACTATTTTCAAAATAATTAATATAACTTTGTGCTCAATTCCCCATTACAAAGAATGAACTTCTTACATTACTTGAAATACTTTTCAAAACATGAGACATATTTACCTTCTTGAAAACATACACTTATGAACTTATCTTTCAAATCCAATAATTAACATAGGTACATATGTGTATATATATATATATATGAATAAAATAACATTAGAAACTCTTAAGTCTTTATGAACTAGAACCTTTAAACTTTTTCTCAAAACTCATTTTTACTTCCTCAGAAACTCAATTTAAAACTAAGTATTGGCTTTGAAACACTTGTCAAGATTTATAACTCAAAATAGGGTTCATGCTTCATTATAGAAATGAACAAATCAACTCAAAGATCTTAATCAACGAAAAAATCTAAGGAGAATTACGATTCCATGATAAAAATATAGAAACTCAATACTTAGGAATAAAATTTCAAAAGAATCAGAAATTCAAGAACACAAAAATCAACTTATCTCAAAAATACTCAAATCTAGGGAAAGAATCCTAGATTACTCTTTTACTGATATGAAAGTAGATGTAGGGCGTGAAGACGAACTAGTCAACACTATGATAGCCTTACATACCTTAAAGAACAAGGTTCTTGAAGAATCTTGAAGAAGAACTTGATTAGAAGCCTTGAAACCCTAGCTTCAAGGAAAAAAATTGAGAAAACCTTTCTTGAGATATCTTGAATTAGTTTCTTGAAACTCTATGACCAAGAATTATGATTTTCATTAGTGATTCTTAATTGTATGGAGGAATTTGAGTTGGAAAGAATGAAATTCTTAGAGAAGGACTTACCTTGTAGAAGAATCTTGAAATAGATTAAAAGAATCTTGAATGAAGTTTTCTACTTTGATTTTTCCTTAGGGTTTTGTCTTAGGGTTTGATAGAGAAGATAATGATGGACTAAGAGATGAAAATCTGATAGTTTTGAGTAGGGCTGCGTATCGGTCGGTTCGGTTCGATTTTGAAGTTTATCGATTTTGGCTTATTGGTTATCGGTTTGTAGAGATGCTAAACTGTTACAGAACCATTAAGATATTGACTTATCGGTTATTGGTTTATCAATTATTGATCGTTATCGGTTTAACCGTTAAGATTTGACACAAAAAAATAAATTGAAAATCACTTAGAAACAAGGTGACAAACCAAATGAACCATGCACATGAGTTCACAAGTTATATCTTGCTAAAAAACAAACAATTTTACATTGTAGAATAACCAAGTGTTTGAGACAACCAAAAATAAAAGTAGGAAACCAAACTCTAAGTCAAAGACTTTATATACAAAATGGAATAAATTTAATTATTTAATTTACTATCGGGTTATCGATTAACCCGTTAAGAAAAAACCTCAAACCGTTTAGAACATATAACAAAAAAAATTAAAACCGTTATCAAAACCTTTAAACCAATAACCCATTACTGATAAACCAATAACTTTTTTTCGGTAAGAGTTATTGGCTTCGGTTTGGTTTTGAGCAACCCTAGTTTTAAGGCTTATATTAGTCAAGAAATTCGTTTAGGATTTTCTTGAAGGTAAAAAGATAAAAAGACCCCTTTTAATGTTTCCCACTGGCTAATTCGTCATTGCACAATATTAGTTACTGAAATGGTCATAACTTTTACTCAAAAAATGGATTGACGCGAAATTGGTGGCGTTGGGATAGATCGTTACATTTAATGAAAAAAAATGAGGTTAAGTCAATTTCGACTTATATAAATCTATATCTGTAAATCATAAAATAAATGAGTTATGGAATTCCTAGTGCGCGTGTTATGGAATTGTCGAAAGTAAAATTAAAAACTTAAAATATTATATTAAGTGTTATGGTTCATTTTTTCATTTGAGTTATCCTATATGTTGTGTTCATCATGTAATGTTTATCGGTTATGATTCAATCGAAATTAGTACTAAGTGTTGTGTTCATCATGTAATGTTCACCAGTAATTTTAATTATATATGTTATGTTATTAGTCTATTGTCATGTTGATTTTATCCTTTGAATTGCATAGCATAATCTCTTCTTTATCAAGATATTACAAACTTGTAGAAAAACGTGATATGCCTATATTATGATACATCGCGTTGGGAAATCTCCCCTTTGCAGATGTGCTTGTACATGTACAATTCGTAGATATTTTAATTTGTGAAATAAAACATCTTCATTTAGTGTCCAATCTGTTTGAGGGAATCCTTGGAGATTGGGTAAATTAGCCAGCAAAGTCATGACTTCTCATGGTAATAAAAATTCCTTGAGATTAGAAAGGAAAATATCCCTAGAGAAAATCATGATTGTTTTGCTTCTACATGTAGAAGAACTCTTTTAGATTGAGAGTTCTTCTTATGGTTTCCGCAGCAAGAGGATTAGATATACAATGAGAGACAAATGTTTTTGGAAGTTCTCTCTTCAATTACAGGAATCAATCAAGAAATGAGTGGTGATCAACTAATGGAGATTGTGTATAGAGGTCTGAAGGGAAGGAGATTTCTAATTGTCAAAGATGACATATGGAGTACTGAGGCATGAGACTAAATGCAAAGAATATTTCCAACTGATGACAAGAGAAGCTGAATTCTATTAATCACTCGGCTGAAGTATGCTGCTGATTATGTCAGATGTCCTGATTTTCCACCTCATAGAAAGTCTTTTATAAGTCTTGATGTCCTAATTTTCCACCTTTATTTCAATGCAAGTAGATATTCCAAAACAATTGTTTTATAGTTCAAATTGCTTAAGGTATTGGACGTATTTTCAATTGAATATGATTTCTCTTGTGTAATACCTCAGTTTGTATATTTGTGATATATTTCTGCAAGAATTGAGAAATCTACCGACCATAACAATTTTTCGAAGAGAAATGTTTGTTGAATCGAGCAGTAGATATTTGAAAAATGTAAGTGATAAGACATTTTGATAATGGATCGCCACTATATATATCTAATTCTCTTGCTGCGGAAATCATAAGAAGAACTCCTAATCTAAAAGAACTCTTCTACATGTAGAAAGAAAACAATCATGATTTTCTCTAGGGATATTTTCCTTCCTAATCTCAAGGAATTCCGATTATCATGGGAAGTCATGACTTTGCTGGCTAATTTATTCAATTTCCAAGGGTTCTCTCGAACAGATTGGACACTAAATGAAGATGTTGAGTTTCACAAAATAAAATAGCTACGAATTGTACATGCACATCTACAAGGAGGAGATTCCCAGTGCGATATATGATAATACATGCATACCACGTTTTTTTCTACAAGTTTGTAATATCTTGATAAAAAAAAGATTATGTCATGCAATTCAAAGGATAAAATCAAAATGACAATGGACTAATAACATAACATATATAATTAAAATTACTGGTGAACATTACATGATGAACACAACACTTAGTACTTACTTCGACTGAATCATAATCGATGAACATTACATGAAGAACACAACTCTTAGGACAACTCAAATGAAAAATGAACCATAACACTTAATATAATATTTAAGTTTTTAATTTTATTTTCGACAATTCCATACCACGCGCAATAAGAATGACAGTTGAACTAGCAATGATACAACGTTTTGCCTCACGTTGCCGGGGACATCCTATACTTTGTCTGATTTATAATGATATCGTGACTATGGATCCGTCTAATTAGCCTTCTAAGAGGTAGTGAGGAGTCGTATGAAGAATCAATGCTATCCTATCCTACGTTGGCTACGTAGTTCTATGGGACTTCCGAATCATGAAAGACCCTAACCCAACTCGGTGCTCGATACTCCCAAAATAATTAATATAAATTTGTGCTCAATTCACTCATTACAAAGAATGGACTTCTTACATTGAAATACTTTTCAAAACATGAGACGTGTTTACCTTCTTGAAAACATGCACTTATGAACTTATCTTTCAAGTCCAATAATTAACATAGGTACATATGTATATGTATATATATGAATAAAATAACATTAGAAACTATTAAGTCTTTATGAAATAGAATCTTTAAACTTTTACTCAAAATTTATCTTTACTTCCTCAAAAACTCAGTTTAAAACTCAAGTTTTGGGTTTGAAAAACTTCTCAAGATTTATAACTCAAAATAGGGTTCATGCTGAATTATAGACATGAACAAATCAACTAAGGATCTCAATAAAAATGTAGGAACTCAATACTTAGAAATAGAATTTCAAAAGAATCAGGAATTCAAGAACTCAAAATGAACTTATCTAAAGAATACTCAAATATAGGGAAAGAATACTAGATTACTGATCTGAAAGTAGATGTAGGGAGTGAGGACGAACTAGTCCAACACTATGATAGCCTAACATACCTGGAAGAAAAATGTTCTTGAAGAAACTTAAAGAATCTTGAAGAAACACTTGATGAGAAGCCTTGAAATCCTAGCTTGAAGGAGAAAAATGAAGAAAACCTTTCTTGAGATTTCTTGAATTAGTTTATTGAAACTCTATGGCCAAGGATTATGATTTTCATTAGTTATTAATAATTGTATGGAGGAATTTAGGTTGGAAAGAATGAAATTCT